TGTTTTAGGGAGAAAAAAAAAAAAAAAAGAGTCCTTTATTTTGTTCATACACACAGATGTGATGCAAAAAATATCATTCAAATGGGTTCAAGAGTGGTCATAATGTATACTTTTGTTGAAATATGATACCCAAAATTTTTTTGCAATTACAATACTTCTTTTCCTTCGTACATGGAAGTAAAAAAGCCTAGAATATCAGAAAATTCCCAAAAATAATAACTCACAAAAGAAGCTTGCAATACATTGATCTAATTTCACTAGTCCCTTAAAAAACACGTAATAATACACGTTTTTTGTAATTTTATAAGCATTTGTATAACCACATGTCTAGTTCCTTTTGTGAAAATTTTATCATGCAGAACTAAGTTAGCATATTTCAATAAATAAATAAACAACAGAATATTCAAGAACAGCTAAAGACAGAGAATCTAGAGAATTTAAGAATTATAAATAATGGGAACATACTTTGCATTCACAGAAACAGTGATGAATTCAGCTGTTTCAAGAATTACATCTTGGGTTTTAAGTTCAACAGTAAATGTTGGCAACACTGGAAAAAAAAGATTTGAACATATGGCTAAGTACACAAAAAATAATAATCACACAAATATTATCTGCATAATAAACAATAAAACAGAACTATTATAATTAATATTATCTGATTGGAATAACATTTATCATCTTACCTATTAATTAAAAATTCAAATTACTATTAAATTTGAATAAATAAGAAATGCTATCCCTTACCATACTCTCGCAATATAAAGCGTACAGTTGTGTTTTCACCCAGCTGAAAATTATCAAATCTTAGTTCAGGAATTAAATAAAACAAAGAATCAAATCTTAAATCAAAAATCAAATCTTAGTTCAGGAATTAAATAAAATAAAGTTATACATAAAAAGCATTGAATTTTTTTTAATGTTTAATACATTAAGAATGAATAAAATTTATATGAATTGCAATATCTGGCATGTTATACAAGCATTATCTAGATTAGAAGATATATAAGTAAACACTGTGAGCAGAAGATCCATACAGTAAAGGAGCCCACTCAGGAAGTAGATAACAAACCAATGTATTAATATTAGTTTACTTTTTACTTAATGTAGCAACTGCATTAATTTAAAACTACAATGAAATACAATTCTTGGAACGAAAATGACTAGCTTGGGTAATGAAACATATAATGTTAACTAAGTTCTATTTAACTTACATACTTTTATTACCCTATCTTACCCATTTTTAATAGCAACAAGAAATATTTTCAGCTATTCAGACAAAGATAAGAAATACAAAAACACAATATGGTCTAAAAGAATGGGCATATAAAAATAAATAAACAAAATATTTATTTTGTATCTCAAAAAATCCATATGCAACATTATGAATTTTTTGAGTATGTGTATACCATAGCAATCATCCTGCTACAACACTGAAAAGTAATTGTAAGTTTTTAAATCCTTGCCTCGTCAAAGTAACACAATATGAATCAGCAAGAACTTTGTTAAATGTATATTGCATCTATTATGTTGAAAATGCAAAGGATGTTCTTGTCCTATAAATCAAAATAAGGGGATAAATACAACCCAAAGAAAGTAAATATTCTGATGACAGGGTAAATATACACATAAATAAACACAAAGCAAAAAATTTCAGCATTTTATAATTTATCTTCAAATTTAAGAATAGTAAGCCTTTATATTTCAATTCATAGAAAAATCTTTCATACCTCATGCCCATATTTCACAGTGGCTGACCACTCCCCATTTATAGCATAAGTTGGAAAATTATACTTATGACTAAAAAAAGCAGTTCCAGCTTTTTTATTAAATGTTGTTTCTTCAACAACAATATTTTGAGGATTCTGAAAGGTACAAAAAATTATTTTTTGTAAATGTAAAATAGATCGCTAAGAAACATAATTAGTAATCACTATTAAAAAAATTAACATCTGCTTTCATTTATAATATTTAGGAAAGCTGAAAATTATACATTTTACATCTATATCAATAATAAAACTAAAAACATTTCAAGCAAACCGCATATGAATATCTCTAACTCATTGATTAAAAAAAAGATTGATGATTTATTAAAAAAAGTATTAAATTATTTTTACATATACTTTTCTAAGCTTGATACATTAAATAGCTAATTTTCAAATAATATTAATTCCTGAATGAACTATCATTAAAGCATTGTTCCATAGCAGTTTATAAAGACCTTATAAACCAACAGGCCAAATTGAAGATAAAAATTTTAACCTTTATAACAGTTCCAAGTCAATTTTTTTTTATAAATGCCTGGAGAGTTCTAAAACTCTGTGCATCTTCCCCTTTGTAGTCATAGGATTTTGCAGTAACTTGTAGAAACTGTTATTATATTTAATAAAAATTACTGCAAATTTCACTATGTCATGGCCCAGTGACCTACCAAACCCATGATCATCATTTGTGCACCGATCAACCCCATGCTGACATGATTTTCAGCTATGTAATTTTTGCCTTTTTTCAAACAAAGAGGGCCAAAAGCAAATATGCATTGGGAATGTTTCGCAAATTATGAATACGCATGCTTTGGCAGTGCATGAAGAACTGGTGAAACTGACAGCTGCAGAGTTTTATGACTATTTTTCAAGGTGGATTTATGATCCATCCTGAAGTTAATGACAATTACGTGCCGAAATGAATAATAAACAAAGTTTCTAAAAATATGGTAGTTACTACTGCATAATTTCACCACTGATGAGTTTCAAAACTGTTTTTCAAGCAGATATATAGACCACAAAATGAGTTCCGGTTAAGGATGATTACATACAAAAAGAAACAACAAACACGGTTTCTGAAAATATGACAGGTACTACTGTATTATTTCTTTATCTTGTGAAGTACACAGACCATTCAAGATCTACATGTATAAAATTAACTGAAGATCCCTCAAGGGAAACTGAAAGAATTACTTAATTCTTCTTAATACAGGAAATCAGTCTTTAAAAAATTCCAGAATCACTGTGATAAAATAGCCACATTCTTGGAAATGAAAATACATAACAGAATAGTAAAATCGTTTGCTGAACTAAGGACAAAATTACTGTGAATTCAATCAAAGAGCTCAGAATGGGGCAAGCAAATGTTCCTAGCTTTCCTTGCTATATGAAAATGAAGTCAGCAGTCATGGTACTGCTACTAAACATGGGTTAAAGTGGATGAAATGCATGTGCTTCAATAGCATTTTGTAAATAGATTTTTAAATAATAGCTTGATAAACGCACAATGAAATAAAACACAATTGTTCAAATTTTTTCTAATGTAGCAGATACTTATTATTAGCCTACCAAAAGTAAAATATTACAGCCACTTAAGTTTATAACATAAGCCTTCGAGTATTGAGAGAAAAATGTGTTTACCACATTGCAATTCACTCCCATGTAAAAATAGGCTTTTTACTTTTAGAATAATCTAAATATATCTATAACACATATAAAAATTTTATAAATAAACTTGGTGATTAAAGTAATCTAATTGTGTAACTGTGTGTGAGAGGTTAAAATATCCTGATGACACACAAAAGTTAAATAATGAAATACTGAAGCACCACTGAAAGGAAACGGTAATGAGAAGTAAAATTAGAAAAATTTTCTGGTGATGGAAATACAGTATTTATTAGTAATGGAATGAACAACATTATTTAGCAGTTTATCTTACAGAATTAGATTTTATGATTTGGGAAGGGAGAGATGAATTTCTTTTGTCATTATTATTTTATATGAATGTCAATTTCTGAACTTGATTTGTTCCTTAAGGCCATTCATTATCTGAAATGTTCATAAACAGAAATTATTTTCCTCATAGGAACTAACGTAAAATGGATTAATCCATTCCTGTACCACAGACGATTACTTAATTTGAAATTTACAGCATACTTTGTGCACATATTTGTAACATAAAAAAGAGGGGAAATCATTAAATCTAAAACAAAAACAAAAGAAAGAGCAAATACTATAGTAAACAGATAACAGATAAAACAGACGAGAAATTTAATTTTTCCCATACCCATGATAAAAAGAGTACATGGCTTAAGTAATAAGTGATGAGAAAGGGATGTTATTGTTTGGATGAAATAAAAATAGCGAGTAACTATTTAACTTTTTTTTGTCTCTTAGTGCCATTCAGCTACGCCTGACATTTCTCACTCACTGACTTGTTATTGTCTATGTTTTAAGATGATTTTTAAGTGTACGATTGCATTGTCATTGATATTGCTTTGCTGCTCTTTTATCAAGGTGATATGATTATGTGGAACTTTGTACTTTACCCAATATTGCATCAATTTCATGACTCAAAGAACTAGGTTCATCTTCTCTTCCTTTCTCTTCCTCTATAGATAATTCTTCCACAATTACCCCTTTTGTTGCTTCCTCTGTAGTTGCTTAAATGTATTCTTATTGAATTCATTTTTACAATTGTCCTTTAATAACTTCTCCATGTCTTCATCATGAACTTAAGCTCATTGTTAACATAAGAGAAAACAATGAGCTCATTAAGCTCATTGTTTTCTCTAGATACAAAATGTCACAGTTAAAAATAATCCTCAATGTCAAAGCCCTCAAATTCTCTGCCTGCAATACAATCTGGCCATAATTTCCTCCAGGTCGAATTTGTGATCCTTAAGTCACTTGCTGCCAGGATTTATTCATGAGAATTAAGCAATGGAAAACATCAAGATAATGGTTCTAGAAATACTTGAGTGTTAATCATAAATGAAAGGTTATCTTGAAACACATATGAACGTTGTTTGTTGCCAACTTGAGGGCTCACAGAGATACTGTTCATCATTCAAGATGTGTTTTGTTCAGATAATTGTTCATGAAGAGGCAATCATGATCCAAGATTCCACTGTATTTTTATTTATTAGGAAATGTATAAAAATTCAATTATATTAAGGCTTTCTACTTTTACAAACATCATCTAAGATCCTATTTTTTCTCACCATAGATTTTATACTCTGTATTATTCATTTTTAATCAAATACTACAGCTTTACTAGATTACATTCAAATAAAAGCAGGCAAATGCATTACCTTAATTTATAAAATAAAAAAATACCAAGATGTTTGGTCCATTATGGCAAATTTAGAACCACCAGTCTTTTATGCAACACTGAGTGAAATATTACATAAACAGATATTAGTCTTTAACAATTAGTTTAACTTTCCATTCACAAGGCCAGTGTTTTGTCCATTACAAGAAAACATCTGCTAAATTACAGTGAAGTGAACTTCCAATTTGATGATCTAGAAATTCATGAACTATCTATTAATAGGAACTGTCTGTTAACAGATTCGTTAAGTTATGTTATTTGAGTATGTCAAAGCACATGAAGACTACCTGCCTGCAGGGAGGACTTTATAAGTGAAACTGGCTCATATTCATGTTACACATGGGGAAAAACAACAATGAAACCAAAGATTTTGCCAGGGCCGATCCCAGATCAATAACCAGTATTTGATAAAGAATCGACAGCCATACTTCCTCATATATTTTCCTCCCTCTTTTAACTAATTTTACAATTCAAAAAATGAGAGAAGATTATTTAATTTTCTAAGTACCTGGTTACAGTAAGAACATAAGAAATAAAAAGTAGTCATGGATAAACTACAGGTAACTATCACAATATAATTTTTTTAAAGAAACCTATATTCCAGTAAGAATACACAATTTGTGGATCTATTCACTTTGCTACCTCAGAATACTACAATTGCTATTAATCTTCTTGAACGATGCTTCAAAAGAGAACCAGCTATCACTATCAAAGCTAAAGGAATCAAGACCATAGAATCATACTTAGCGAATGGCTATGTTTGCACCTTCACAGGTGAATCTTCAGATGAGAATTTAATTAACTTTATTTTCCCAATCGGCAGCATAAAACAGGAAAAATTGCTTCAAATTTTACCTGCGAGCTCCTTGCCACACAAGATATTCTAAACATGGGTAAAAACTCTGAGAAAGCCAAAGTAATAATAATCTTCAGTGACTCGAGGACTGCCCTTTAGGCAATTCAGCAGGGTGTCTCAAGACAGACCCATGAAATACATATTGCCCTGGTCCCCATCAATAAACATTGTATAATGCAATGGATACCAGCCCACATCAGTAGACAGCAAAGAAGCTGTGAATGTTCTGGCCAGAGAAGCAAGACAATTAAATGAAGAATCTTATTGTCCCATATCATTTAATGGCATGAATAGGTAATTGCTAAGTCAAAACTAAGAAATCCAACCATCAAGCAGAAATTTCAGCTAGGCGAACTTAATACCGACAAAATTACTTCCAAAACTTTGGCAAAGAACTGGCCATTTCAAAGTGATGAAACTCTTACCAGCGAAAACAAGAACCTACACTTCGAAGAAACTGCACTGGAATCAGACCAGACTACATTTTCTCCTGCCCTGCCATCTTGGCTGCAATGAAGCAAATTAGTGATTGTTCCCAGAAAGGCCTCTATAAAGAAAACTGCCTTGAGATAGCTAATGCGGTCTGCACTGCCCATGGTACCATCTAACTGATTTCATGGACACAACAACAAACAAATAATATACAGCAATACTACCATTACATTACCTAATAAGATATCCTCATTTCTATTTACCTGTAAGTTAAAGGGTTTGTTTAATTATGGCAAAGCACATGAGGACCTAAGGAGAGGGAGGACTTTTTTAAGGGAAACTGGCTGATATCCAAGTAACACATGGGAAAAACTATAAAAATAACCATGCAACTAGTATGCATTTTGTAACTTGAATTTTGCTTATTATTTTTTTGTCTCTGCTACTCCTTAGGCCTCAAATCATCCATAATAATTAGAAAAGATGAACGTGAAGCTGACGCCATGAAATTGTGCAGTGAATGTCATTTTGTGTATGCTTTTCTGTGATGGTAAATATTAAATATGGTATATTTACCAAAACAAAAAAAAATCAAGAATTTAGTTAAATTTTTTTAACAAATTAAAATGTAGATTAGGTGTAAATTGCATTAAATCTATTTAAAGATATTTCAGTATCTAATTAATATGTTTATTAAATGCTTATGATTTCAAAGTATTTTCCAGAAATTCTTATTATGAGCTTGTATACAATGTTCAGCAACCTTGATATCACTACCATTGTCAATGAATCAATTTTCCTGGCATCAAGACAGAAGGATGAAAAGGAAAATATTAAACTAAATATTCCATATTGTAACATATATGTAGTCACAGTTCAACAGATTAAGAATAATGAATAGCACAATAAAAAAAATACATAATTAATAATAATTCATAGGTACTTTTCAATTAACAAGACTCCACTTACACAAAATATAAATTTTAATGTGCAGTCTAACTCAAGACAGGAACGGCAACTCTAATATATACAGTCTCATGAAACTTATGGCTATTTTATTAAATCTAAAATGAACACAAATAAAGAAATTCACGAATAAGAATACACATTATTATTATAGTATAGTGGCTGTAATTGCAATTGACAGAATTATATTCATATGAACTCTTAACATTAGAAACATATAAACAGTACAGCTATCGGAAAAAGAATGCACAAGCTTTCAAAGCAGCATCTGCTCTACAAATCTTTCTTTTCCTGACATGATCTTTCACTGCAATACCATTGCAGTGCTCCAGTAAAATAAAAATATAATTTTATTTCATGGTTTTCTGGAGTCTAGCAATACAAATGCTACATCTGTCTTGAAAGAATTTAATCCTAATTCTTCATCATTTGCATAGCTACTTGTGAGATGAAATAATCAGTTTCCTACATTTAAAGCACAATTAACATTGGCTGAAGTGCTAGTTGTGTACCACTTTTCTGGTTAACTGAAAAGCAGTCAACTCATTAATTCATACAAAACAAGAAATAATAAAACTTAGGCATATTAACATGCAAAAAGAAGTAATAATATACCTTAATCTGGAGTACAAATGGTTTGTCAGATGGTAATACATTTTCACCAAGAGATATAATTCGAAAATGTGCTGAAAGATACACAGATTTTAAATTTTAATAAAATGAAATGAAGTTTTAAAAAAATTGTAAAAAAAAATATTAAAATTTACAAGTGAAATTAATTATGAATAAAATATTATATACTATTAAACGAATCACATATATTATACAAATACAGAAATTGCATGAAAGTGAAAGAATAAAGTAACTTTAGATTAATATTGATTTTAACTAAAAGTGTCTGGCAACTTGAAGGGTAAAATTACATAGGACCTTCTTCTTCTGGAACAAGAATGAGAGGGGAAAAATACTTCACTAGCATTTTTTTAAATATCTGATCCGTAATCAACATTACTGGTTTTCATGCTTTGGAATTCCAAATCGCATAACATCTGATCATGGTCAGCAATTTGATAGGCAACTTTCTCAAGCCTTGGGAAACATCTTGGTTTTCATACAAATAAAACTACAGCTGCATATCATCAGCAAGCAAATGGCTTGATTGAAAGACAGCACAGAAATTTAATAGCAAGCCTAAAATATCCCCTGCTGAAATCAAAGTCATGGCTGGAAGCATTACCTTTCATTCTTTTAGGCACAAGATGCACTGTCAAAGAAGACTTAAGTTGCTCATCAACAGGACTTGTATACAGATCCAACCTAGAATTACCAGGAGAATTCTTTTCAACAGTACCTTACCTCAAACATTCGGAATCTTCTGAAAACCTTCAGAGAATAATCAGAGATATGAAGTCAAGACCTACCACAACCCATGGAAATAGAAGTCATTGTTTCTAAACAACTTTCCAACTGTTCTCATGTATTCCAATATAACATCATCAACAATTCTTCACTACAACCTATATATCTTGGACCTTATCCCGTAAAAGCAAGAAAGGATAAATATTTCAATAATGAAATCCAGGGAAACTGGCAGACGTATGGAGTTCCCTAGTCACTTAAAAGATGATCTTCCGTAATTGCTGTTACTAAGAAACGGGTGTGTAGTGTCGCCTTTTTAATATAGCTTTGGTCACATTGATTTACATCATCATCACCAAGTTTTTGATTAAAGCAGAGTGGTAACCTTAAGCCACTGTGGAATCTAAGGAAAAATGATTGATTTTCTGTTTGTGAGATTTGATATGAATAAATGTAAATAAATATTAATCTTATCGGAATTAGAGAAGTGTTATTAGCATTTTCCTACATTTTAGACACTTAAAGGATGTATGATAATATATTTGCCAGTTGTACATTCCCTATTGCCTTAACTGGTCTACTGATCGAAGACGGCTAGTCACATAGCTTGTCTCCCTTAAACATTTTGCAACCTGTAAAATAGTTCTGTTTGAAAGATGCTGGCCTGCAAGGAAAAGTTGCCAATACAACCACGTAGCCAATCATGTCTTGCACTCATATTCACCGTAAAGTAGAGCCATCTCAAAATAATCCTTTTTTGAAAATTACTCCATGACCTTAAGATTCAACATACAACCCCAAAGAGACATTTTTATTATAGCTGTCTCAGATGAATAGATATGATGCTTCATACACTATTTGCATAATGAACAAACTTCACACGCCAAGCTCAAGTTGAGTTAAGTTGATGCACTTTGCACATGATTGTGCACGATCTGAGCAATCATGTTGCATCATCTGTCTACTTTGTTCGTAAAGGCAATCAGTACAAGAATGCACCCATGGGGTTTGAACCATAGTTCTCTCGACTGTGAACTACAAAATATACCACTGTGCCCCTATGCGGACTCGTTTCTCATCCGAAAAGTAAGCTTTTCTACTTTTGTTCAAGTTTCAAGACATCACAGTTTCAGAAATCATGACGAAACAAATGTGTCTTTTCAATGTTCTGTCTTTAACACCCATATCCTCAAGGTGTCTTTTCGTACTAAATCAATGATGCTCTACAACTTTGTAATTCACTTTTTTTTTTCCTACCACACAACGTTTTCAAGGTAAGAACAGTAACTCTGCCATTTCCAGTTAAGTGGCACTATAAATGGGCTCTTCTAGTAGTACACAGCCACTTTATTATACCTAGACACCACTTTTATGGCTATAGTTGCAGCCGTTTAGCAGTTAAACAAGTGGTACCAAGCTTTAGTGGGTACTCTGTATAAAAATTGTAATTATAAATAAACAATAAAATTTTGAAATGCTTTTGAGACCCAATAATTTTATACAATTCTCTACTGAGTCATAACCCATATTTTGAAAGGTATCAATCTAAACAGCTTGTGAATACTCATTTTATTCAGTTCCAATCACCAAAGAATATATTTTATTAAAACCGTTAAGACACAATCTTTTATAATTAAATAATAAAATATTTTGACATATCTGCACAATGGGGAAAAAAGTTATTCAATTATTTGATTTTAAAAAATAAGGAATTGGTAAAGTCTTTAAATATCAAAACATTTGTAATGCCAACAGTCTCATTTATAATTTATTACAGCATAGTACAGTCAAAAGTCGTTAATTCGGACACCCATAATCCGGAATGATCTATAATCCAGACCTCAAAGCTACAAACTTTCTGGGCATGCGTCCCGTTGACGCATGCGCGTAAGACTTTTAGGCTGCAATATGCTTGTGCACATGCGCAAAATACGTTTATGCATGGCGTTTAATGTACAAAGGACGGTATAAGCTAAGCTAAAATTATCTAATTCTATTGCAGATTGCATTGTTCCTTAATCTTCTAATTGGATCCGGCTTCTTATTTTTTGCAGACTGTTAGAGCAACTTTTATAAAAGTAAGCTTGAACTTTCGATTATGTCAAATAGAATTTTTGATATATATTTACTAATATGTAAAGGATCTACAAAGCAAAAGTATGTTTCGAACATAACAAAAGTGGAATTGCTGTAAAAAATGACCTAACTATTCCGAAATCTGTTTATCAATTTCACGCTGCTCTGCGGCGGGGGGGGGGACGCTGTGGCACGCAATGAATTGGAAGCTGATCTGTCAGCACTATCCTTATCTTCAGGGCAGATGTTTTCAATGCGGCGGCGCAATGAATTGGAAGTTGATCTGTCAGCACTATCCTTATCTTCAGGGCAGATGTTTTCATTTTATTTGGCTTATAATTCCTTACTAAATGTAGTATTTCATCTCGATGTATTCCGTCTTTGATATGATTTAAATCAAATTCCTCGTCATTATAATTCGCTTCCTATAGTGAAGAAAGTGACACAGAGGTTATTGAAAACGAAAAAATTTCGATTGACAAATTAGTCGATATTCTCAACACAGCAATTAGAGGCCTTGAACAGCAGAACTTTGTAACTAAACAAGAAATTATGTCTGTTTAATAGAATTAAAGAGAAAGTATTATCACATGAAATGAAGCAACTTAAACAAATTACATTGAAAGAAATGTTTAATAAAGTAAACAAATAAATATTACGCTTTTTTTTTTTTTTTTTTTTTTTTTTTTTTTTTGTAAATTTTGATACCCTTAGATCATAAGATCATAATTGTTCTTTATTTCATAAAATTACGGTTTCATATTTTTAATTTTATAATTTCTGCATGCCATCTTACCAGATTTAAACTGATGATCTATAATCCGGAAAAATCAATAATCTGGAATCGCCGAAGTCCCGACGAGTCCGGATTAAGGACTTTTGACTGTATTATTCTTTTCCAGTTGAGGTGCAATTAAAAAATCTCCATTATAGTTTCTTAAAATAATTATATACTTCTGTGCTATTTATTTATACATACATTAAAAAATTAGAAGATTTTTTTTTTAATTTATATTGATTCCAAGATCATCCTGAACAAATTCAGATACAATGCATTTACATATACAAATATATTTTTAGGGGGAAAAAACTTGCCTCTGTCTCTTGGAGTGTAAATAGGTTTATCCGTTTGAATAAAAACATATCCTCCATTAAAGTTTACAGGCAGCAGAATTTCTTTGTGAAACAATTCACAGTGAGCAGTTAGAGAGACTATATTCTCAGAATGTGTATCTCTCAAAAATGATGGTGGAAAATCTCTTGGATTCAGGTGAATTTTAAATGTGCTTGGATGTCCTAAAAATGAAATAATAGAATGATTCCATATATAATTTTTCTTGTATAAAAATTTTATATAAAACATGTAATTTAATATTATGTGAAATTCATCATTAGACATCACCTATTTCTTTTTTTTAAAATATGAAAAAAAATTAACTTTCATTTCTTTTTTGTTTAGAAAACCATTTTCTATACTACTGACCTGTCATAGAGACAGCTAAAAATATAGTACCTGAGCTTGCAAGTAGCAGTATTAATGACAGCCAAAAACTGTCACCCTAAGTTAGTAACTTAATCACGGGGAGAAAAAATTATATATTTAAATCAGTTAATTATAAATGTGTATTGCAATATAAAGAAATGCTTTTAATTTAAAATAAAATGTATTCTAAAGCATTTCTTTGTATTAATTAATTTTTTCCATGAAAATAGCATGAAAAGTTAGGACTCGCTCTTTCTTCTGAAACAGTAGAGTAAGCTTTCTGAGCATCAAGGCTTTCTGCATCTGTTCATTAAGATCTGTGTTTCAACACAGCATTTAGTAACTTGATTTGTACAATTAGTTATATTTCACTCTTTTTTCCTCATGTTTTTCTATTCACTTAGGTCATTAAAGAACAATAAGAAAAATTTGTTAAATATATATATATGTCATAATTTCGAAGCACAGTCACAATGGCTAAGTGGCACAGTGAAAAGAAGGAGTTGATACTAAACTAGATTTAGCCAATTAACATCTTTATCTGCAGATTTGCAGGCACACTAAAATAATTCCTTGTAGACAATATACTCGTTAATCACAGCAATTATGAAAATTTCTTATATGCACAGGTAAAAAGATGTGACGGCATTTCAGGCAGGGAAGCATAAGCGGCGCAGAGTTTTTTGCATGGAAGAAGTCAGGGAAAAAGGGAAATGCAGTGCTCGTGACTCAGTATTTATACTTTATAGGTGCAGAAAGTATTCTGAGCTATGATTGGTCAATATCAGTTTTCGTTAGCTTTTTCAAGCAGTAATATGTAATTTGGAAGGATCTCGAATTTCGGAGAACATATGAATTTCAGGGGGAGAGCACCAAATTTAAAATGTTAATTTTGAGGTCGCCAAATTTTTTTTTTTTTTTTTAAACAGTTATCTTATTTTGTTATATCTTACATATTCCTTCCTTCAAAAGAGAGATTGGGTGAGCAAGGTGAAAGAAAAAGCATTAGAGCAGCAAAATGTGAAAGATATAATTTTGAAATTACAAAACATAATATTAATTTTTAAACAAAAATGTCATAGAAGTTTGACTGATATTTTGACTCAATTTGACATTTCACTGAAAGTCGTAAAATTTTGAATTCAATAACAATTTTAAACACTATAGTCTTTTAAAACAATTGCACATTTTTAGAGTCCTCAAGTTGTTAAAATATCCAATGAAAATTTTGTAAAGTTCTTGATGAAAATAGTACCGCAAAGTAAACACTCTAATTTTTTCACAAAGGAAATGTTCAAATAAAAGTCTTTCCAATTTTTGTTGATGAAAATATTTCCATTATAGTATAGATTGATCTGCGAACTTTGATGTGGAAGTATAATACACAATTTATGATAAATTAAATTTCTTCTTCTTATTGTAGATTCACATATTTAATACAGCAGAAAATTCGATGTAAAAACAATGATATAATGAAATACTGAATAAAACAAGAGTACTTTGACAATTAATTTGGCAAGTTCTCTCCAATAAAATCAGAGTACAATCTTGCTGATGTGTGTTGGGAGTGCTTAAGTACAATATATTGAAAAACCTCCATTCCTTAGAAAAGGTAATTGGTTTTTGACATAGTATAATTTTCAAAGTTTTTTGTTTTCTTTCAAAAATCTTTCATATTAGTTAATATTAATACAACATTATACAAAATTAAGACTGAAATTGAAGACAAATAACTTGTATAATCAAGTTATAATCTTGTAAATTTTGCAAAAATATAATTAAATTTACCCTACAATGAGAAAGAAAAAGAAAAAAATGTTGCTCTCTTTTTGTTTTTTGAATTAAAATTGCCTGATTTTATTTCTAAAAATCTCCATAATTATATTTTAGGGAAGATGTTTTAAAATATAAAAATTTTGTATACATCATTCATAAATACAACAAATCTCAAACTTTTCTCTATTATTAAGACATTTAAAATCTACTTATCCTTTACTAAATCTAAAGACCCCAGAACTTTTTCTAAATACTAATATATCTATTATATTGGCTTATCTAATTGAGCCAACTGGTGTTTATTCTTCACCAGTGGCCAAAAGATTTGCCAAATTGGCAGTTACTGTAGAAAATGCCTCCATTCCTTGGACAGAGGTGACTGGACCTTTTTCGAACTGCTACCATTCCCTTATAAAAATTAAAAACACACTCTATTATATGAAAAAATAAAAATACTGAGATTAAAAAAAAAACGTTTTTTATAAGGTTAGAGCTTTTAACGTTTATCCCTTATAAAAATTAAAAACACACTCTGTTATATGAAAAAATAAAAATACTTAGATTAAAAAAAAAACGTTTTTCATAAGGTTAGAGCTTTTAACGTTTATCTAGAAAATATTAAAGAAATACCTACAATTTAAAATTTTCAAACAATAATTTCATTCTTAAAATATAGCAAAAATTCAAAAATCTAAATTTAAAGAAATTTAAACAATAGTACAAAAATATTACTCCTACTATTAGGAACCTTCATAAGTAAAACTGTCAAGTTCTTTAACTAATTTTTTATCAAATTCAATAATTGTTTTTTTCCTATTCAGAAATGCAAAACTACATTTTAAATAAATCGTAAAATTTTTAAATTATTATCTTTCATCTTAAAATGATTTAAAATATTACCATCAATAAATCATAAAACAAAGTCTTATAAATGCAAAGCCATTTTAAAACATAATTTCTTCAATTAAAACATTGGAACTTAATACCACTTCAGTACCACATTTGATAACTTTTGATAATATTCCATCCTTTGAATGAAAAAAGCACTGAAATTTCTGAAGAATTTGCCAAATAAAGCACAAAAGATTACTTTGTATTTCATATTACACTGATAGGGGTTGTTGAATTAGCACTCTGGATGTTTAACTTTCTTTTTATGCAATGAAAATATTAAGAATATTGCAAACGAGGGAACTACTCTGATATGCACCCTCAAGTCACCAAATTTCTCGCCAAATACGCTGCCATATTACTATCTAAATTTTTTGTCTACATTTTGAACTTTTAGCCTAAATTGTCTCCAAAAATGCGGTTTTCGCACATGCAAAAACTACGTTTTGAACACACAATTTAGCTAAAAATCCGAAACAAAAACAAAAAATTTAGATAGCAAAAACGTAAAGTTTCTAATCAAAAATATTTGACATGAATCCATGTACACAGCGACATGTTTTAACTTAAGACACAATAACACGCCGAATAAATACTAATTCAGAAGTCAAACAACAAAAATCAGCGTTAATTTACAAAATTTTCACAGGACTAGTTTCGATGGTTTTACCGAACCATCATCTAATTTTGTAAATTAACGCTGATTTTTGTTGTTTGACTTCTGAATTAGTACGTTTTAACTTAAAAAAACATCTACGAATTGCACAATGTAGGCAACGAACGAATCTACAAACTACGCACACCTCGCTTTAATAAATTAACATAACAACAATAAATTTCAAAGAATACCATGTACACAGCATCCTGTTTAAACTTTAAAAAAAATTCTACGAATTGCACAATTTAGGCAAGGAAGGAATCTACGATCTACGCACTCCTCGCTTTAATAAAATAACATAACAACAATAAATTTCAAATAATACCATGTACACAGCGTTCTGTTTCAACTTAAAAAGACATCTACAAATTGTACAGTCTAGACACTAAAACAAACAAAAATAAACTAAAATAAATTTCAAAAATTTAAAAAAACAACCCAATAATGACAGAAATTCATACTAAAGAACCAATGAACATAACATTCTACAAAATAAGAACAAGGATAAAATAAATGCAACTTACCATGAATTAATGCGCTTTTTCGAATACAGCAGAAATATAAATTTCATACCGCCTTTAACATGCCGCCACGTAATCACTATCGTATTTGCATGACAGCCAGACACACTACTCCAGAAAATACGGTTCACAAATAAAAAAAAAAATAAAATAAATCACAAATCCCTACTTCTATCATGCACTGCCATTAAAAATAATCTTCCCAGAACCCTCTTTCCACACCTCCAAATACCCACTTACCCTTCAACAGGGATAGGCCACAATCGATATTTCCTTTTGCCGAACTTCAATTCAAGAACTGCCATTTTATCTTTCCCTCCCATCTTCTCAGACACAGAGGCGAACCAACGAGCTCCAGCGAAAGATTTTTCAACGTCAACAGGGTTGCCATAGAACACGCAATTGCGCCAAAAAGCCAGTGCTGAACACGTATCGCCACATTTGGTGAAATTAGGGTGTATATTAGAGTTGTACCCAAACGAGCAAGAATCGTTAAGCCTATTTCACTCATCACATGACATGATTCAAAACACTTTTAGATTTTGAACTTTTGAGATAGCAGATTTATCCATTTCACGTCGTGTAATGGGCAAAAAAAAGTAAACACAACACTCACTCCTACGATTCAAAGCATTTTAGAATTCAGTATTAAATAATTTTTTAATTTATTGTTTTCACAATCACTTGATACTTTGCAATGAAACATACTGGGGTTGCGGCAGCAGGTAGATACCCTACCGACTTTTTACTTATGTCATAATTTTAAAGCACAGTCGTGATGGCTGAGTGGCACAGCGAGGAGTTGATACCAAACTAGATTTAACCAATTAACATCTTTATTTGCAGATTTGCCGGCACACTAAAATAAGTCCTTGTAGACAATTCATTCTTTAATCATAGCAATTATGAAAATTTCTTGTATGCACAGGTAAAGACATCATTTCAGGAAGGGAAGAATAAGTGGCGCAGAGTTGTTTGCATGGCAGAAGTCAGGAAAAAAGGGAAGCGTAGTGCTCATGACTCAGTGTTTATATAGGTATTGACTCAGTATTTATATAAGTGCAGAAAGTATTCTAAGCTATGATGGTCAATATTAGTTTCAGTTACCTTTTTCAAGCAGCGTTATGTAATTTGAAATGATCTCGAATTTCGGAGAACAGATGAATTTAGGGGGAAGAACACCAAATTTAGAATGTTAATTTTGAGGTTGTCAATTATTTTTTAAAACAGCCTTTATCTTACATATATATATTATATATAGCTAATTTATTTCTAAACCAATAAAAGGCGAAACATGTTGGATGACTACTAGTTAAAGGAATTTGTAAATATTGTAATTAGTGCAGTTATTGTATATATAATGTAAAAATAATTTTTATGACATTTTTTTTATTGCTGTTACTAACAAAATGGGCCTATTCCAAATTTCTCAGCCTCCTTAGCAACTCTTGAGCAGTGAAGATCTCTTTTACTCCTTTTCAATAAGACAATTAGCCAGAAATTAATTAATTTCTTTTGTTTGATTAGTTTTATACTAAATTTTACCAGAATTCTTTTCTGCTCAACGATTTTCGGCTATAACACACGTCATTTCTTTTCCCCATATTCTAAAAATAGCATCCAACACGTCCCTACCTATGCTTTCTCTCTCTTTCCCTCTAATCTCCATCCCTGTTTGAATTCCAGATTGCATTCTGAGTAAGAAGACCGTAACGGATATTTTAACAGTTATAGAGCTAGCAAAGACGTAAGTTAATTAAATTCATTTTCTGGCCTTTAATGTATATTATGTAAATTGTATTTTATCATTTTAGACTTATGAGAAAATATTTGTACATTTGTTCTTCCTTGTTTAATTGTTTTAACAAGTTTGCATTCTTTTAATATGATCAAAAGCAAAAGTGTCGGGAGGTGGCAATTTTCTCAAATAAGAAAATTATACTCGATCTTAATCAAGAATTATACATTCTGATTTGAAGATTGTATTTAAAGATTTGCAGACACACCAATTTCTTACTGATTTTTAATGAATACTATGAATAATTTTAACTCAGTTTTCCTAAATAGCTTTTCTTGTCTTGATTCTTACTCAAGAAAAAGATGAAACACTTTTGCTTCTATTAATTATTATTAATTCATCAGAAGTTAGTTTGTTCCCCTTGAAAAGTCAACTAATTTCGGGTCAATGATGATAATTACTTAGACTATTGGTTATATTTTTGCTTATAATTATTTCATTTTATAATTACCTCTGAAATTTTAATAATTCCATTTTAAATATGCTTATGACTTAATTCAGTTTACAGAATTCTAAGTACTGTTTTCAAAGGGAATAATATATTAAATAATCTACTACAAAATAAATTACTATACATATATATAAATATTATGAGACAATTAGTATTGCTTTTCATTCTATCCCTTGCAGCTTAAGCACAAGATTTTTCAATTAAATGCTTCTCATTTTCTTTTCATACTTTAAATATATATGTGCCTAGCATTAATAAATCTTCTGATCGAAGTAAGGCAGTCATGTCACTTACAGGGTTAATTCTATTTAGCAGTAAGTAAAATCATTTGGTAGTTTAATGTATTCTTCATTTCTAAGTTTAGTGAAACTATTTTGTGTCTGATTAACATACATAAGAAGCAATAAACAATGAAATAATGTTATTTTAAACCCAATAATTTACTGGAAACATTTTCTGATTTTTTCTGAAGGCAAATACTGGTGTACTTTTTATAAAAGAGTACTTATTACAAAAGAGGGAAGAGGATTTTTCTTACTTCTCATATTTTTGAAGTCCTTAAAATATCCTTCACTTTTCAAGAATATAATTGTTTAAAAATCATTATTATTGACAGAAAGGTTTTTCTCTCATCGTTTTCCTCTCAAGGTTTTTCCCTGATCCCGCTAAAAAGTTTTAAAACATTTGTTCTTGTCAATGTAAACAACTATTTAACAACACAAACAACTGATTATCTATTTTCCTCTCATAAAATTGAAATTTTTAGGTACTTTTCCATTTTAACTTTCTTTTGGACTCAAATGATGTTTAAAATGTGCTTGATACTTAAAATACAAGTAACAGCCTTTCTAAAATTTAGCTGATCATTTCACTCATAAAAGTGTCAGAAAAACTTAAAATTTGACAATAGCTCACGATATAAACACCAAATAAAAAATTTAAAAAAAAAATAAAATAAAGAGAGAATGTGAGAGATAAAGATATAAAGTTTAAATAATTAATACATAAACATACATTTAAAATTTCACTTCAATGCACTCTTAATATGTTATTTATTTCATTAGCAGTACAACAAGAAAAGAAATATGTCTTGCACATATTAATAGAATAGTTTAACTTTACCCTACCTGGCCTAACATCTATCTGTTTCTGTGTTATGTTTTTTATTTTTCCTGGGTGATCTTGGATGTAAATATTGACCAAAGCTCCTCTGTCACCATCTATAGCAATTCCTATTACTTCATCTGAATCCACTCTTAAAGAATTTGGTGCAATTATGTAAAATGGCCTAAATATACAACAAAAAAATGATCAAATTTTTTAAATTTCCAAAAGTCATTTCTTTTATTTCAAAACTCCATTGAAAACCCAAAAAACTTAATATAGAAAAATTTGTTTTTCCGTCAGAAATATTAATATTGAAAAGAATATGATGCTAGGATCCTCTACAAGCAACACAGGCATTTTATTTTATTGCAGAAAGCAATATTTAATCGCACAACCACATTTAACATTCAAATATAATAGTTTAGCTAGTGGAGTAAGACTTAGCTGCAATGAGAGATAAAAAAGTTCAGAAAATTTATATGACTTCAAATCATTCAAGAAATTCAGAATTACTTCTAATTTCAGTCAATAAACTATCTTCAAAATTCATGGTAAGTAAGATAATTATAATGATGGACACATATAATTACAGCTACATACCCGTAGACAAGATTTTAAATTTACCGCCTTACTCGTTATCACTCTTTTAATATTTCGCAACAGGATGGAGGTAAAAACAAAAACAGTGGCCTTTCCTTTCTTCAGGGCTTGACTTTTCTAGTCTGAGAGTCAGGACAGATCATGTTATTTTTAAGTTCGAGGTACCGTCCTAGTAAAGGATGTGACTTGTGTCATAATATGTCCCTGAATGCCTTTATATAAATGTGTGAATTGTAGATCCCCATTGGGAAGGATTAAGTAAAATATAATATACAGTTAAAAGACACAATTTAGCATGTAAAGAAGTGGCGCTCTCTATGTGTAGTAAGATGAAATAAATGCAATGTAGAGATAAAGTAACTTCTTGAGTAAAAATGAGATTTTTGATTAAATAAGTAATATCAGAGCTTAAATTGCATCGGACACCGGCTCCGGTACTTCTTAGTTTTGGGGATATATTCTAATTCTGATCGGAACACACCGGAGCCTTAAATAAGTAATATCAGAGCTTAAATTGCACTGGAAGCCAGCTCCGACACTTCTTAGTTTTGGGGATATATTCTAATTCTAGTCGGAGCGCACCGGCACTTTTTTATGTAACGGAACAATTATTTTAGTAGAAATTTTACCTAGAAAATTTCATTTTTAGCAATAAAATTATATAAAAAAATCGCTTATTAAATTTTAATTTATCCCTTTACATTTTATTTAATTACTTTAATCTTTAATAAATAATAATAAATTGTGAATTACAAGCTAACTAATAATTTAAAATATTAATTATGAATATCAATTAAATAATTATTAATTAATTTGATACTCATTAACTATTTAATATTTTAATTATTTATGATTTAATAGTCGTTTCGTTTATTTACTCTTGTTCCTCTTTCGTGATGGTCTTTCATAGGACTCCGGCACGTTTAGAAATTAGCCCTGAGTGATATAGAATATATACAATAATTTATATTACCAACGAACTTTCTAATGAACAGTACGAAGTCTCTTGTAAGGCTAATCGATTAGAAAATCGCAGTTGCCTTTGCAGAGCCTGACTAAGGGAGGGGCATACGGGCGGTTGCCTCGGGCCCCCACATCACACAAGGGCCCCAAAATCGAATACAAAGTTTATTATTATAAAAATATTAGTATCTCCAAAAAAAAAGTTCACTTGTTCATTACTAAAGAAGTGAATTAGAGTGGGGCCCCAAAAATGTTTTTGCCCCGCGCCCTAGTTAGGCTAAGTCAGACCCTGTGCCTATGTTTTGTATAAGCACAGATTTGCGTTTTGATTTATGATAAAATCTTTTGATCAATAGTAGTAATTTTCAGATCTCTGTGTAGCACCGAGTTTCATATAAACCAAGATCCTCCCAGCATAATACGGATAGCTTTGTTCTGAAGCCTTTGTAGATTCTCTCCATTTGAACGTGCAGCGGCTGCTCAGATAAGCGATATATAAAGTATAATTGGTCTGATCATTTATTTGGTGCTAATATTTAAAATAGTGGGTTTTTAGAATGGAATAAATACTCATCAGAGCTTGCATAGCTTTGCAAATGAATTTTGAAATTAATTTACTATCGAGTGTGATTCCCAGATATTTGACATAATCTTCTCGAGGGACTATTTGGCCGTTCAAATATAACTGATCATGAATGGATCTTCTAATGGTTCTTCTGAAGATGATATGAGTACTTTTTTGTGAGTTGATGTTTATTTTCCATTTAATGAACCAAGGATTAAATGAGATGTATGGCATCTTGTAGTTTGTTGCGAGTATGTTGAGGATTTATTGATGTAGGGGAAAATGCAGTGTCATCTGCATATTGTGCTTTTCAGTTCAAGGAATTATAGGTTCATATAAATGATGAAGAGATAGAGCGCTAAAATTTCACCTTGGAGGACACCAGCAGAGATGTTTCTATAATAGGAATAAGAGTCGTGAATTTTCTTGTGCTCTTTGCCACGAGGAATTTCGTGGGCTTGGGCTGACTATACGTTAGACAAGTGAGCATTAGTCAACAACAACAACAAAGTCGTGAATTTTGACTTAAAAGGTTCTGTCCTGAAGGTAGCTGTTAATAAGAACGGATAAGGTTCGGAGAACAGCCTTAACACCAAAACGGGGAGAAACAGCTTATTATGGTAGACCACGTTATGGTTGTCATCCGATGACGTACTTCCTTTGACAGCATCATACTTTTTCCTACTAAGGGATTATCCGTAGCAGCAGATCGGGATACGTATTCGGAAAATGTTTGCTTTTTGCTTATGAAGCAAAGAGTATTGAATTAGAAATAGCACATAATTGAATAAAATATAAAATATTGACCTGTAATAATTGCACCTGTAAATATTAATGCTTTATTTTCTGTTTTCATTTATTTAATGCTTTATTTTCTGTTTTCATTTATTTAATTCTTTATTTTTTGTTTTCATTTGCTTTGTTATGCTTCCCTGTACTCATCGATGTCAAACATGGCTTATTCTATAGATTTTTAGTATTTATTTTATGTGCATTGATTGCAAGTAATCTATAAACAATTTTCTTGTACTTTCTTTCTTGCAATGTGTGCTTTCATATCGTAGTGCAATAAAAGGTCGCCGCTTTTTCGGATGGCCCAAACTGTCCTTTTACTATCGATAGGCAGCTTTTTTCCACCGATAATGAAATGGCCGTTGTTTATCGATTACGAAGGTTTTAATGTTTGGATTCGTGTATAAACTTTGTCAGAAGGAAAATTAATATCGCGAAACCTTGCAATTTAAAGGAATACTTTGCAGACACGAAGTAGAAACTGTTAAAAAAATTTGCTTATTATTATAGAAAATCATAACCATTCGATGATAAGAGTATGTTACAAAGTATGTTATATATCATACGAGTTATGAAAGTAAATGTAAAGATAATGTATGTATGTATGTGAAGTAAATAAAATCCTCTAGAACGCAAACACTTTATTTGGTTATCTAGTTGAAAGTTTGGCCATTTTGTTCTTAAGTATTTATCAACATAAATTTTTATTAATTTTATTGCCTAAGATCTGGTTGATGTTTCCAGATCTGGTCCAAGTTAAAAAAAGAAAAAATGTTTATAGACGTTCATATTCATTAATTTTGTTGCATAACGTGTAATAGAACTCTGATTTTTATTTGGTTTCATTGACAGCTATTTCATGCTTTTTTTTTTAAATAGCTGATGCTTTACAAAACCTTCCATACTATATTAAACATTAAACAGGGTATACTATGATAGATTTGAAAATTTTTATTGTTTCTTCAGAAACTCAACAATTGCCTCAATGACTACTGTATTTTCATCCTGTCTTATTGTATAAATTGCAGTCTGTTGATTTGAAATATAATAATTTAACAGTCAGTGTGTAAAGAAAATCCATTCTTTAGTTTTATAACGAGCAACGTTTTTCAAAATAACCTTATAAACACTACCTATTCAAAAATTGTTCTGTTTTATTTTTAATTCACCATAAAATTACATGCATTATCAGAAAGTTTAATAATGAAGATGTTGTCACTTTCGGAAAACGGGAAAGTTTTCTGAAATGTATTTATTTCTTTAGTAATGTATAAGTCAATGCTACTTAGCTTGTATAATATTACATTACTGTCTATTTTGACTGGTACCAGTAGGCTAGCAGATAAGATAGCTGAACATTGGATGTTTGATCCAGGTACAAATATTGGTGAATGGGATAGTTGATTTTCCTGTTTTTCCTTATGCATTATGTGAATACAAGTCAATTTCTCATAGAAATACCTTCTCAAAGGCATCCTTTACCTAAGGTACATAGCTCTTACTGTAGTTATCTTGTTTTGTGTAACTTAGCATAGCCGTCAAAACCTTAATAATTTTAATACAAAATAAAAAAAAATTTTTTTGCTACCATATTACCATAACAAATTTCACAGGATGCACCAAACTGTGTCAACCATGTGTATGTGCATATAACAATTCTTCATAGATAGCAGAATGGTTTTAACTTTCAAATTTACCATTTTAGGTAAACAGTTCTAATTTAATTATAAAAATTATCTTTATTAAATCTAAAAATTGGACTTCTTAACACACTAAAAATTGGACTAAAATTCACACTAATATTATTGCAATATATTCCCGTATTAAGCTTTCCATTTTTAATCATTGAAGTTATTTTAAGGTTATTTAACTTTGTTACAAATTCCATATTTTAATACTAGAAACGTTTAAATATTTATTCTGTTTTCCACCTGATGTACTTTGGCATACATTTAATTTCTAATACACATTTAATTAATAAATTAATAATTATGAGCGTCAGCAGAATTTTCATAATTAACAAAAAATAAATAAAAAATAAACTCCCTTATATTCATATTCTGGGATTTTCAGTTCCCTTTTAATCCATTCCTTTTTCCATATTGTTGCACTGTACTCAAGTTTTTATGTATGTAGAATTTATATACTTTGTATTGTATTTATGCCAGTTTATATTTAAATGATAATTTTTACAAATTCTTGCATTACAACTCTAGTTAACAGAAGATGTTTCTAACACCTTGGCAAATTATGGGCAAAGC